AGTGTCACATCTAGTGTCACCTGTAGTGTCACCTGTAGTGTCACCTGTAGTGTTACATCTAGTGTCACCTGTAGTGTCACCTGTAGTGTTACATCTAGTGTCACCTGTAGTGTCACCTGTAGTGTCACCTCTAGTGTCACCTCTAGTGTCACCTCTAGTGTCACCTCTAGTGTTACATCTAGTGTCACCTGTAGTGTCACCTGTAGTGTCACCTGTAGTGTTACATCTAGTGTCACCTGTAGTGTTACATCTAGTGTCACCTGTAGTGTCACATCTAGTGTCACCTGTAGTGTCACCTGTAGTGTTACATCTAGTGTCATCTGTAGTGTCACCTGTAGTGTTACATCTAGTGTCACCTGTAGTGTCACCTGTAGTGTCACCTGTAGTGTCACCTGTAGTGTCACCTGTAGTGTTACATCTAGTGTCACCTGTAGTGTCACCTGTAGTGTTACATCTAGTGTCACCTGTAGTGTTACATCTAGTGTCACCTGTAGTGTCACCTGTAGTGTCACCTGTAGTGTTACATCTAGTGTCACCTGTAGTGTCACCTGTAGTGTCACATCTAGTGTCACCTGTAGTGTCACCTGTAGTGTTACATCTAGTGTCACCTGTAGTGTTACATCTAGTGTCACCTGTAGTGTCACATCTAGTGTCACATCTAGTGTCACCTGTAGTGTCATCTAGTGTTACATCTAGTGTCACCTGTAGTGTCACCTGTAGTGTTACATCTAGTGTCACCTGTAGTGTTACATCTAGTGTCACCTGTAGTGTCACATCTAGTGTTACATCTAGTGTCACCTGTAGTGTCACCTGTAGTGTTACATCTAGTGTCACCTGTAGTGTCACCTGTAGTGTCACCTGTAGTGTCACATCTAGTGTCACCTGTAGTGTCACCTGTAGTGTCACCTGTAGTGTCACATCTAGTGTCACCTGTAGTGTCACCTGTAGTGTCACCTGTAGTGTCACCTGTAGTGTCACATCTAGTGTCACATCTAGTGTCACCTGTAGTGTCACCTGTAGTGTCACCTGTAGTGTTACATCTAGTGTCACCTGTAGTGTTACATCTAGTGTCACCTGTAGTGTTACATCTAGTGTCACCTGTAGTGTTACATCTAGTGTCACCTGTAGTGTCACCTGTAGTGTTACATCTAGTGTCACCTGTAGTGTCACCTGTAGTGTTACATCTAGTGTCACCTGTAGTGTCACCTGTAGTGTCACCTGTAGTGTCACCTGTAGTGTTACATCTAGTGTCACCTGTAGTGTTACATCTAGTGTCACCTGTAGTGTCACCTGTAGCGTTACATCTAGTGTCACCTGTAGTGTCACCTGTAGTGTCACCTGTAGTGTCACCTGTAGTGTCACCTGTAGTGTTCACCTAGTCACCTGTAGTGTTACATCTAGTGTCACCTGTAGTGTTACATCTAGTGTCACCTGTAGTGTCACCCGTGCAGGGTGCAGCTCACCTGTCACCTCTCTCTCTCTTGTGTTTTCGTGTCTGTCGGTCCATCAGACTCGTTTTACTGCGACTTTTCTTCCAGGAGTAATAAAACCGAACCAAACTGGCCATCGACTTATCTGGTAACTACAAGGAGAGAGAGAGAGTCTTGAAGGAACAGTTTACACACCAGGATATGTATACCTGTACTGGTCCCTGCGTCTGACTGGTAACGTACCATCTGCTGGATGCGGTGGAAGCTCTTCCCGTGGAAACTGAAGGCCTGTTCAAACAGGACTCTGTCCTCGACCGTCCACTCATCAGGAAACGGGGTGAAATTGGGCAGGTCTGCCAAAGATTTCTCAATGTTGTGTTTGTGCCAGAAGAGCATCCCCAGAGCCTGGAGACAGAGAGACGGAGTCAGAGAGACGGACAGAGACACAGAGACAGAGACTGAGTCAGAGAGACGGACAGAGACACAGAGACGGAGACAGAGAGATGGACAGAGACACAGAGACAGAGAGACGGAGACAGAGAGACGGACAGAGACACAGTGACAGAGACGGAGACAGAGAGACGGAGTCAGAGAGACGGACAGAGACACAGAGACAGAGACACGTAGTCAGAGACGGAGACAGAGACACAGTCAGAGAAGGATTCAGAGAGACTGAGTCAGAGAGACGGACAGGGAGAGCTGGAGTCGGAGAGACCGAAGAACTGAGTTGAGGACAACAGCAGAGCTCAGGTAGAAGACTTACCTGCTCCATGTTGTAGCCATGTTTCTCTTTGGCGAGGGCGATGTACTCGTCCACTGGAAGAGAAAAGGGACTGTAAACAGCAGCCGCGTGTTCAGCCACTTTATTTTCACTTATTTAGTCTGGTTCTTACACTGAGTCTGGTTCAGACAGCTGCTGGGGATCCACACCAACATGCCGAGGTTCTCTCTGAGCTGAGCTGCCTGGGCCACGTCTGCCAACACACACAGGTTAATCAAGCTGGAGGACAGGGGCCGCCCCTGCGACGGGCTGCGGGGGCCGGCCCCTGCGACGGGCTGCGGGGGCCGCCCCTGCGACGGGCTGGGGGGCCGACCTGCGACGGGCTGCGGGGGCCGCCCCTGCGACGGGCTGCGGGGGCCGGCCCCTGCGACGGGCTGCGGGGGCCGGCCCTGCGAGGCTGCGGGGGCCGCCCCTGCGACCGGCTGCGGGCCGGCGTACGATAGGACTACAAGGTTATTATCGTTAACGAAGACGAACGATAATAAAAACTAGATGTGAAAAAACTTTGTCGTTAACTGAAATAAAAATAAAAACGAGGCTTTACAAAAAAACTATTAAAACACAAAACTACCTCAAACTAAATAAAATGAAACGTCCTTAGTTTTCATTTAGATATTTCGTAGGTCCTTCCAGTGGATATGAAGCCAGGGGAAGTGACGCTGTGGGGCAGCTGGTCTGGCCGCACCGGCAGTTCAGCGGTGATCAGCCGATAGGCGCCTGTCGGTGAGCCGCAGGTGTGTTGTGCAGCTGGCAGAGCTGTGTTTAGTTTGCTGTAGTGAGTCTTTGTCTTGGTGGTTTTCTTTTCCTTGTTCTGTTCTGATGGTCTGGCTCAGAGCTCATCCTGGTGTGGGATGAACTTGCCGCTGACTGTGAGCTCCCCGTGCGCTGGTTTAACGTGTCTGCTGCTCATTATATTTACTGCATGTCAGCTAGTGTGATTTTTATGGGCTCACTGCTCTCTCAGCCAGCCTGTCTCTTTGTGCTTCACATTGTTTTATCCCGATTTTTGATTAATAAAGGTTTAGATTTTAATAAAACTGCTTTCCAGTCTTACTGCCTTCAGGGTGTAGAGGCCTGCTGTTGTGGTTGTGGCCTCCACCATCTTCCAGTTTCTCAGGTGCATCACCTCCATATTGTATTTCATCTATTTAACCAAGAATGACAGAGCCAGAGACTGATGTTTGAATTTCTTGGGAGCCTGGGTAGCAGGATTAGGGTCGTTAGCTCTTGTATGTAGGTTAGAAATTATACTGTAGATTGCATTTGCTTCATTTAGTAGTCATTTCATTCATTTTGTAGTATTTATTTAGACAATGCATCAGTACTTTTTTTTTTGCTTAGTGTTTGGGCCCCTACATTCAAGCTTCAGATAGCTTAAAAAAGGCTTAACCTTTTCACAAAGATTTCTGATTGCGCTTGTATTTTAATGTTTGTGAAGAAACTAAAGTGAACTGAACTTGGCACCGTGCAGCAACAAAGACTAAAACTAACTGAAACGAATAAAAACTAAACTAAGCATTTTTTTTAAATAAAAACACATTTAAAAACTAATTCAAACTAAAAAAACGAAACATCCCAAACTACAATAACCGTGGTGCCTTTTTACAGGTGTTCCTAATAAAGTGGACACTGAGTGTATGTCTCAGGTGTGTTGTGTTGAGCAGCTGATCCGGTGCGGACTGGAAGCAGCAGCTTCACCTCTTCACTAAACATTTCTCTTCAGTCAGGTCTCCATGAGCTGCTCTCTGACTCCCTGAAGCCTGATCCAGACTACATCAGATCCAGGACCAGCACTGATCTGGCTGCTCAGTATAAAACTACTGTCAAAGAACCGGAACCAGTACCACAGGTGGACTTTACAACCAGAGAGTAAGAGAGGTCTGCTAACCACTACCATGTACTTTAGTGCCCCTGTTGTTCGAGGCTACCTCTCCGCCTCCAGGCTACAGAGTCCTCTTTAGATTCTTACCCGGGTCAAAGTCCGGAACCACGGCCTGGTACTGTGGTCCGACCCGCATCCCTCCTCCACCTGCATCCACACACAGCAGTATTCAGTAATAGTACTCAGAAGTACACACAGTACACGGCTGTACTACAGTGATCGAGGCTACCTACCATGCTCTTCGTCGCTGCTGGATCCTGAACTTCCTTCTTCCCAGCAGCTGGTTCCATTACCGGACAGGCTCTTCCCGCCGGGGTTCGCTGCCGCCCCGGGTCCACTGCCCGCCGGGGCTCGGCCTCTCCGCTTCCCCGGAGCCTCCGGGTTTCTCTCCAGCATCGCCGGCATGACGAGGACGGAGGGAGCTCGGGCTAAATGCTAACTGCTAACTCAGGCTAACAGTTAGCTAGTTAGCTTAGCTGTCCTGCTACAAGAACCGAACCGGCTAACTAGCCTCGGAGCTGAGCTCAGTGTTCCGTCCGAGAGCAGCGGGAGGGTTCGGAGTGACTCTGGGGTGGTTCTGGTCCGTAAAGATCTAAGAGGAGACCAGTTAGCTCCGGCAGGAAGATGCTAACACTGAACCCGAGCCGGAGCTTCACACCGAGTACCAAAAGTTCCGGAACAAGCAGCCGGAACCAGAAGAAACCAGCTCAAACCAGACCGACACCGACAGACGGACTCACGGACCCGACCAGATTCTGAAGCGCCGATCAAAAGTGAAGCAAAGCTGATCAGAGATCAGACACAGCAGCTGATCGATCCCGGAGAAGGAGGGGGAGGAGCGCGCGTGTGAGTGTGCGCGTGCGTGCGTGTGTGCGCGCGCTCTGCTGCCGTCACACAATAAAACATCAATAACTCGTGAAACGTCCATGACGTTTACATGTTCAGGGATCGATCAGCCTGTAACATCAGTCCCATCTGAGGGGCAGCTGGAACCTGTCTGACGGACTCGGAACAAAGACCAGCTCAGCAGGTCTTCTGGGTCCGGGTCCTACAAGAAGATAAAAACCAGGTGGCTCCGCTTCCTGCCTGCTGATCCAGTAGAGCCACGACACCAACAGCCCGGGCCCCACCCTAAAGCCGGGCCAGGACCTGACATCAGCCGGTTCTACAACGGGGGCAGCCCCTGGTACCCCTTTAAGAGAACTAAGTCCACTTTGAGATTCTGGAATGGAAGGGCGGGTCCTACGGTCAGATGTACCCACAGTCCATCTCCCTGAGGAACTCAGCTCAGTCCCTACCTGTTCACTTCCTGTTGTTTTCCTGAAGACATCAGGAACATAATAACGCCTGCACTAAATATTTATCCCAGCATCCTTTGCACTACACTGCTGTGTGCATACTGTAGTTGTGTGTTCTTGTCCTGTTTGTTGATGCTGGTCTGAGTCCAGAGTCAGAGTCCTGTATGTGGACTGAGGGAAGCCGTCTTCACAGAAACTTGGGTCAGAGGACAGAAACATGTCCAGGACTCTGCTGAGTCCTGATCACACAGGTGCGGAACAGTCTGACGTGTCCAGTTCTTCCAGCAGGTGGCGCTTCGTCTCCTCACAACAGGAAGCTCGGCATGTTTTATTCTGAAAGCAGAAATGAAAACTGAAGTCAGACGTCGTCTCTGCTCACAGAGGAATCACGACAAACCAAAGGAAGTAAAGAGCGAACTGCACCTGTGAGCTCCTTTCCATTGATGAACCCGAGATCAACACGTGTGCAGAAACCAGCTCCGGTGTCGGTTCAGATCAGCCGCTCCAGAACCATCAGCACACTCTTCAGCCCTGCTGGGGGCCCCGGGGCCGAAAGGAAGTCTATGAGAAATCAGCTGATTTATTCCCTCAGTAAACACTTCCTGATGAGTTTCTGGTCTCAGTCGCTAGTTCAAGTCTTCTTCAACACAGCGTGAGTTCATTTAGTAAATTATGGTCCCATTTAGAGGAACAGAGACCAGGAAGCAGGGGAGGCTTTAGGGCGGGGCTACAAGCTGATTGACAGGTCAATCTGTTTGCTTTTAGAGAAGACTTTAACAGACCTCTGTCATGTGACTGCTGTCAGCGGACAATCACATCATCATCTCCACAATCCTCATCAAAGAGAAATAAAAACACAGAGAGTTCGTCCGCACTCAGCACTGCTCCTGTTACTGTGCCATTATGTAACTGCTGCAGGCCGCTATGTTCACTATGTGAGACACTCGATCCCCCCCTCCCCCCCTCCCGACCCCCACCCCACCACCACCACCACCCTGCCCCCGCCAGGCCCCAAAACAAACATCCACTCACAGAGCCGAACTGGCTGGAGGGGGGAGGGGGAGCTATAAATGACTGAAGGAGTTGAGAACGAAGGTTTGACTGAGAGACAGAGACTTTGGGACTCTGCAGGACCCGGACCAGTCGGACGGTTGAAAGTGTCCCAGGTTTACGGTGGAGCAGGTGTGGGCGTCGTCATGCCGTGGCTGCGCTCCTTCGCGGACTGTCTGTCTTCGTCTCCGTCTCAGGTCTGTGTGAGCGGACGTCCTTCTCCTTCTACTGCGCCGTGCGCGAGCGGTGCGGCTCTGGCTGCTGGAGGACATGCGCAGCATGGAGGTCTTCTGCTGGGAGGACGGACGCCCGCGAGCTTCCTGCCGTCTGAGGCACTGCTGTACGCCCTGTACACGACCACCAGGACTATGCGCGCTACCTGCTCAAAAGGTATTTCGGTGAGCGCGCTCAGAGCACCGCGCTGCAACTTCTGCTGCTGCCGCAGCACCGGGTCGCCGCACCTGTCCGTGGCGGTGCGTTACGACCGCGTGTCCATCCTTGCCATGATGGTGGAAGCTCTGAAGGACTGCGAAGCGCAGAGCGGGGGACTGGACTACCTGGATGGCTGTGGCGGCTGCTCGCACGTGGCGGATGCAGGAAAGACGGCGGTGCAGCTGGCGGTGGAGCTGTCGCGGCCCGACTGCCTGCTGCTGCTGCTGGTCCACGGCGCTCAACCCGACGGCCTCGATGCGGCGCTGCTGCGACTCGTCTCCTCCAACGCGGCGGAGCGGCGCCACGCGCAGCGCTGCGTTGACTACCTGCTGCTCTTCCTGTCCAAACCACCAGCGCTGCAGCGCCTGTGGGACGAACCGCAACGCTGGCAAAGCCTGCTGGGAAACGAAGTGTTTAGCTGGCTGTGCGGTCTGTCCCCGCCCCCCCTTGCTGCAGGCGCTCAGGTGTCTGGCCCGGTCCGGCCCAGATCAGATCACCGCCCTGCCCCACTTCCTGCAGCTGCACAGGCTGGCAGTGACATCATCTGTCACTATGGCAAACATGATGTAATAAAATGTAAATAAAACACTGGAAACACAGCTGATGTCTGTCAGGTACAAACCTTGTATCTCCATCAACAACAGGCTTTATGAAGGAGATACGAGGTTTTAAGAGGAATCTTTAATGACTGTGTGCAGCTTTAAAGTGAATGAGTGAGTGTTTCAGACGAGCTGAGTCAGCGTTCCGGGTTCTGATGATGAACATGTTCTACTCAGAGTTCAGACTTTAGATCTCCTCCAGACTCATGAAGACAAACAGCTGACCGTGAAAACTGTTTCCTGATTCCGTTTTCGCAGCCGAGCTATCGGACGACTCGCTGTGATCGTCCTCAAGCAGACTGACAGGACACTTCGGGTTGGGACAAAGCGTAGAGCTCTCAGCTGGGACTTATGAGCTTTTCTTAGAGAGTGGGCGAAAGGTGTTTTTCACTATCCTGACGTCAGTGACATCACAAACAGAAGTGACCTGCAAACAGTGTTCTTCACGTGTCTGCAGGAAATCGTAAATAAAAATGACGTAAAAACAAAATTGGAAGTTTGTTTTTTCTGCCCTGACTTGTGTCTGCAGGTTCCTCTCAGCCCATGGACGTTTTGATACGTTGATAGTTCAAGATTCAAGATTCAATACTTTATTAAAATGCAACTAAGTTGCTAAGAAGTTGGTGCAACGCTCACGACAACACACAAGTGTAAAAACATGGATACATGAAACCCCCATCTCCCTTTTACACACACATTCATTTTGACACTCACACACACGCACTCTCAAGCACTCTCACACACACATTTTGACACACACACACTCACATTTTGACACTTACACACACGCACTCTCATGCACTCACGCACACACACACAAACACACACACACACTCACACTTTTGACACACACACACGCTCACACACACACGCACTCTCAAGCACCCACGCACACACACACACACTCACACTTTTGACACACACACACTCACATTTTGACACTTACACACACGCACTCTCATGCACTCACACACACACACACACACACACTCTCACACTTTTGGACACACACACACGCTCCCACACACACAAGCACCCTCATGCACTCACGCACACACACACTCTCACCACTCTCACACTTTTGACACACACGCGCTCTCACACACACAAGCACTCTCATGCACTCACGCACACACACAC